TAGAGTACTGGGTTTTAATTTTGAGTTTTGAGATCTGCATTCTGCACAATAAATGCTCTAAAAATACATTATATCTTTGCTTTTGTTGTTGTTGTTGTTGTTGGTTTTTTTTTATCAATTTAGCTTTGCTAAGGGACTACAAAACCCATTCAGAAACACTTCTATTATAACTTTTACACTTAAATTTATACTGCGATATATACCGTTACCGTGAAGGGATTCGATTTATACCGTGATATGAATTTTAGGTCATACCGCCCAGCCCTAAGACGCTGGTGAAGCTGTTGTGAATTTTGTTCCACTCCGTCTTGCTGTTCTCATGAGCAATGAGTGCTGTGATCTTGTCTGTTGACTTAGAGTGACGGCACTAATCCACTTATCCATTTCCTCTGCTTGACCAGAAGACAGGCATGCGGGACTGTGACCAGCATTAGTGGAATGTCAGGGCAGACTTTCACTGATGGAAAATCATAAAAATTTATAATCAGACAGTTAACGTGTCCTTCTCAATGATGAGAAAAGAGGAGGCTTGACATAAAAAAAAACACCAGTAATGCTTTTTGAAAGGCAGGTAGAGAAAGCTGCTGTTACCAAGGTGAAGAATAAACTTTCAATCACAAGTACTTCTCAGTTTTGTTTTGGTAAAGAACATCATGATTTGTATATTTTTAGGAAATATACAGTTTTTAAATATGAAATGTCCACATTGACACTTCCTTTTTCTATATCAATGAAGCATGTGTGTCATCATTGCCATACAACACTTCCTCTTATTCTCTGTCTGCAGGGTGAGCCGACCAAAAGTGTGGTGTTCCTGATCTCATACTGGGGAGACCAAATAGGTCAAAAAGTCAAGAAGATCTGTGACTGGTAATTACTCTACATCACATTATCCATGGTTCCTTTTTTAAAAGCAGCTGTAGTTTTTTTTTTATAAGTTGTAGTGATGAAATGGGAATAACATGGTTTTTCTCTCCGTAGCTACCACTGTCACTTGTATCCCTACCCCAGCAGCAATGAGGAGAGGAATGATGTTGTGGAGGGACTAAGAACCCGCATTCAGGATCTGCACACAGTATGTCTGTTGTCTGGTATCTAATTATGTAGATGTTTAATCAGTGACTGAATGAGTAGTTATTCTGTTTGTCATTCATGAAAGGCTTACTTGTGAATGCGTTTGCTGTCATCTCTGTTAAAATATAAACTAGATTATTCCGAATATGAGCTCTCCAGGTGTTTTTCTTTCCTGGTGGTTGGTTGTAAGATTAAAGAATACAAAGTTTCAGTGTTTTTGGTCAATCACAGGACATCCAGTTAGGGTTTTTCATTTGAGCCAGTGTTTTATGGTCAAAGAAATAAAGAAGAAAATTAAATGGCTTCATTTTCTAAAAGATCAACCCAGTTTTCACTTGTTGTACGCCAGTCCTGGCAGTTACAGGGCCAGCTGAGTGAATCATTGGGTAGCTTGAACCTACTGTGACTGAAAACTAGAATTGCACTCACCCCCTGTAGCACATGATCAACATGAGACCTCAGCTGAAAGTTGAACTCTTTTTTTTCTCTCTCTCTCTCTTTAATGCATGCTTTTTTTTCCATCTGCCCTTTGTCTCTCTTGTTCACACAGAAACACAAATTCCTCTTGTTAAAATCGAGACTTGTTTTTCTCTGTTAATGTTTCATTAATAATCACAGAAATTTAAAAAATTGTCAAGGTTTATAAACTTTGCCCTTTTTTTGAATGTCTTGAATAAATTGTAAAGGTCCAGTGTGTAGGATTTAGGGGGATATATTGGCAGAAATGGAATATAATATTAGAAGTATGTTTCTTTAGTGTATCATCACATGAAGATAAGAATTGTTGTGTTTTCGTTACCTTATAATGAGCTGTTTATACCTACATAGGGAGCAGGTCTTCGTCCATGGAGTCCACCACGTTGCACCTACATGTTATAGGTAGCCCCTCTGCATCGAGTAGGGTTGGAAAAAAAAAAAAACTATTTTTTTTCCCCCATGAAACTGCTTTATTCAGTGTGTTTACCGGTTTAAATTACTGGTCACCTGGTCGACTTCCTTTTAAGGGACAAACTCCTTAACAACGAACACCTAAATCTTTCACACTGCTTCTTTAACACAATGTACCACACTAAGAGTCCTGTTTATCTCTTACCCTGTGCAGGTTCTTCATAGGACAGAGGACTACCTGAAACAGGTCTTGATTAAGGCCTCTGAATCCGTCTACACCTGGGTCATCCAGGTCAAGAAGATGAAGGCCATCTACTATATTCTGAACCTGTGTAGTTTTGATGTTACAAACAAGTGTCTGATCGCAGAAGTGTGGTGTCCTGTTAATGATATTCCCACGCTGCGGAGGGCGCTGGAGGAAGGATCGGTGAGGAAACTCTTAAACAGAGCTGCTCTATTTTTGACTCTGGCTTTGCTGCAGGCTTTCTTTTTCTGTTTATTTAACCGGGGCAGTTGCTTTATGAACTGGAGTATTGTTGTCATAAAAGCAAGTACTGAGTTGAGGCATTGCTGTTATTTTTTTCTCTTTAGTTTAAGAAAAGGAAATTTAAATGACTTGCTGAGGACACAGAAAGGCCACTGTACTTTCAGTTTGCAGGGTTACAGTACATAGTGTGTATTTAGAAGAAAGAAATACAAAGATGTGCTAATGGGAATAACTCTTCCCACAGAATTTTATTTACTGTGCTGCACAACAGGTTGTTCAGATTTTGATTTTTGATTTACATGTGTTGCCTAGTTTAAGGCAGCATGCTGACGTTTTGATTTGACGTTGATATTTCAGAGAAAAAGCGGAGCAACAGTTCCATCCTTTGTCAATCGAATCCCAACCACTGACACTCCCCCCACCCTGATAAGGACCAACAAATTTACCTCTGGTTTCCAGAACATTGTAGATGCCTATGGAGTGGGCAGCTACAGAGAGGTTAACCCTGGTAAGTGTGATCCTTTGCCTTTTCTGTGATTTTATTTTTCAAAGATGTGACAACAACATGAATGTGTCGCACAACAGCCATGGACGAAAAACAGAAAAATCAAGATCCTTTTATTGTAAATGTTCAACACCCTCTCCTGTGATAACACATGCCTAATGTTACCAAAGTTTAATACAAAACTAATGTTATGGGAAGATGCCACCATTATAACGTCTACATTTATGGAAATCATTTATAGTAATCAAATAATCTTTTTTCGGGGTGTCGGTGGCTTAGTGGATAGAGCAGGCACCCCATGTACAAGGCTGTTGCCGCAGTGGCCCGGGTTCGACTCCAGCCTGTGGCCCTCTGCTGCATGTCACTCCCTCTCTCTCTCCCCCTTTCATGCTTGTCTGTACTATCAATTAAAGGCTAAAATGTCTTTTTTAATATCTTAAAAAAAATATTATTTTTTTAAACTTTTTTTTTTTACTCATTTTTGGTTCTAATTTATAAAATAGATTAAATATTATGAGAATAACCATAATATAATATTATTTATTATTCAGCATGTTAAGTGGAAACAGTACAATTATGGGTAACACCTGCGAGTTTACTTTCTCTTTGGGCAGAGATGAACTTGTCTGTGTTTAGTATTAATCGATTTGTATGAGCTTTAGTACCGGCAAACAGTCAAATATTTAGAAACTAATAAGCATACATAGTCAAATTGCAGCAAATCTGTTAAAAGTTGGATTTTAAATCATTTATTTACATAATAAACATCTAGCTGTTTGTACTCAGATGTCAAATAGTGTCTGAAAAATCTACTGAGATGTCTGGAAATTTGAGCCTGGAAAAGTATGGAATTTTGAAATGGAAAATGTGTAGGAATGTTATAACTAGTCAGTTAACAGTTATTAGTTATATATTTATAACTCACTTATTCAGATTTTTTTTCTCATTTTTAGCTCCTTTCACAATCATCACATTTCCGTTCCTGTTTGCTGTGATGTTCGGGGACCTGGGTCATGGCGCTATCATGGCTGTGTTTGCTCTCTGGATGGTGCTGTACGAGAACAACCGCAAACTTAGAAACACCAGAAATGAGGTGTGTGAATGCTGCAAAGCATTTGTTTTTCACCTAATACTCACACAGTCTGTCTGAAGTGTAACTAAGTGATTTGATGTGTATGTGCAGATCTGGAACACATTCTTTGAGGGGCGTTATATCATCCTGATGATGGGCCTGTTTTCCATCTACACTGGCTTGATATACAATGACTGTTTTTCAAAGTCCCTTAACATCTTTGGTTCTGGATGGAGTGTGAAGGCCATGTTTAAAGAGAGGCATTGGAAGTGAGTACGTCATGACAAGAAAGACTGAACAGGACAGTAACAATAAAACAGCTATGCAGCTATTATTTTTATTGTTAAGAAATTCAATGAATGTGTTTGAAGATATAAAGATAAGATGAAGTTTGTAGATTTTTTTCATAATGACCTACATTTAACACACACTGGTGGTTTTATCTGTGTCTAATAGGGAAGATGATCTCCATGGGAATAGTTTTCTCACTCTGGATCCAAATGTTACGGGAGTTTTCAACGGACCGTACCCTCTGGGAATTGACCCAGTGAGTAAAGAATACTAAGGGCCGAGTCATCATGAATACATAATTGTTGTTATTTGACTCTCATCATAGTGGTGGTTTTAAAAAGAAGTTTTAAGATGTTAATCATCACTCTGGTTAGCACAATCATGTGAAATATATTTGCAGGGCACATGCACACATGCACAAGTATATTTTTTTGTGTGTGTGGACAATTGATGAAAACAGAAATGTCTAATAACAAGCTTCCTGGTTACCAGAAGAGTTGACACTTTGCACGTCACTGATTTCACTTAACTTAGTTAATGTCTTCCATTTATTATGGAAATGGCTTATAAGTCATACAACAAAATATTTCTAATTTAACAATTATGCAAGAGCATTTTATGTAATACTAGGGTCAAAAGAAAAGAACTAAAAACAGGCCGCAGCTTTTCTCTGCAACTGATCAGGATAACTGTCTTTGTGCAAGGTAATCAAAAGATTTTATCTTAAGACTTGAAACTTTCATACTGTAATGTTGTTTATAGGCTTGTTAAACCTGTTGTTTGAGATGGCATATGAAATTCTGTTGGTGCAGTAATATTGAATTAGTATTGTAACAATAAGGACTATGAAACAGCAATTAAATGTGAAGCAGTCATGTCTGTTGCTGCTATAGTAAACTGCATCATCCTTAAAAACAGTAGGTTATTTGCCTGATTAGCTGCAATGTTGCTCACACAGAGATGTACAGTCTGTATTAAAAATGAAGGTTGAATTCCTGGAATTGAAGTTGTTGAATCACTTGTGTTGAAATGATTATATTAGATCCAATAATGCCGTCTCTACGTGGCTGAAACAGTGAACAAAACACAGCTAGCTGTTCTTTATGAGATTTAGATAACATTGCTGGAGTTAATATTTTACCAATATAAACTACCAGTTCTGCATTAAAGTATTTCTCTCTCTTTCCATTGCACAGATTTGGAACTTAGCAACAAACCGCCTTACATTTCTGAACTCCTATAAGATGAAGATGTCAGTGATAGTGGGCATCATACACATGAGCTTTGGAGTCATCCTCAGCACTTATAATCACTTGTAAGTATGAGTTTGTTTGTTTTTAAAACCTTGCATAGCCCTTAAAGGTCAAGTATGTAGGATTTAGTGGCATCCAGGTTGAGGTTGAGTTAGAGAACTGAAACTTCTGCCATGTACAAAGCATGTAGGAGAACTACGGTCGTCAACGCAAAAGCAATTTAACGTGAAAATGTGAATCCGTGAATTTCTCTATCTGGGCTAATGTACATAGCAGACGCAATGGAAGCCGACCCACTGTACTCTTTCTGCCAATAGATTCCCCTAAATCCTACACGCTGGACCTGTAAAGGTATACTATGCAGGAATTGCTGCTGTTTGTGTTTTGTCTCGCTATATTCGAGGGTTTTTTTTTTTTTTTTTGGCACTGTGTCCACAATTTTAGTAGCTTCCTCTTGGATGCCTGCTGCTTCTGGTCTGGCACCTTCTCGCTACTTTTTTATGAAGTCCCGACCTCACATGTGCGTTGTGCCCAGGAAAATCCCAAACATAGAAAAATAAGAGGAAAATAAGAAAATACACACACCTCCACACACTTATAGTAGGTTGTAAGTGATGATTCGAGGGATTACGTTTGTATGAGTCTATATATTATCTTATAGAGATAAAAAGGAAAATCCTGTGTAGTATACCTTTAATGTTAGATGTTATAGTTTTTAATAGCCTGCGCTATTTTTGTCACCAAAAACAGGCACTTTAGAAAGGAGTACAACCTGTACTTGGTTTTCCTCCCTGAGCTCCTGTTCCTGCTGTGTCTGTTTGGCTACCTGGTTTTCATGATATTCTACAAGTGGCTGGCCTTCACTGCCAAGGACTCCACAGAAGCTCCGAGCATCCTCATCCACTTCATAAACATGTTCCTCATTCAGGGTGATCCAGTGCAGCCCCTCTACCCAGGACAGGTGAGAAGCTGATGCAATGATGCTCCATTCCTCCCACAGTACAACTTGTGTCCCTGTTTTTTTACAGAACATAATGAATCTAATGTTGTGCTGTGTTATACATGTCCTCTTGTTGATCATTTGTATTATGCTAAAACAAATGTTTCAAACACACTTCAGATGTTGTTGAGACAGATCATAACTTTTGTTTTGCTTCTTCCAGACTGGCCTGCAGGTGTTTCTAGTGGTAATTGCTGTTCTCTCAGTGCCTGTGTTACTCCTGGGGAAACCCATCTACCTTTATTGGCTTCACAATGGAGGCCAACGCCTAGGAATGTACAGGGTGAGAGTTTGAAAGCACATGTCTGTCTGTGAATGTTTGCATACTGCCTAAAAACATTTCCAAATATTTGTTCTCTGTCTTACGGATTACTGTTAATTTATTATGCTGATCTGTTCTGTACGACATCTACTGCACGTCTGTCTGTCCTGAAAGAGGGATCCCTCCTCAGTTGCTCTTCCTGAGGTTTCTACCGTTTTTTTCCCCCCGTTAAAGGGTTTTTTTGGGGAGTTTTTCCTTATCCGCTGTGACGTTCCAAAGGACAGAGGGATGTTGTATGCTGTAAAGCCCTGTGAGGCAAATTGTGATTTGTGATATTGGGCTTTATAAATAAGATTGATTGATTGATTGATTGAT